GATAAAAAAAAAATTCTTTAAAAAAAAAAAACAGATTAACAATAAAACATCTTACCAGGAAACTTCTAGCACTACCTGGTCATTTGTTATTAAGGAACTATGTGATAATTGGGTTTTTTTTTTAATTCATGATATAAAACGTGTGCACCTATGCCTGCGCCTGAGCAGCACTCCCACTAGAGTCCCGTTACAAGGTCCGCCATGGCTTTCTGGCCCTCACTGCCCTTCCATAGTGTTCAATTCTCACGGATAGCCCCTTCTCCAGACCTCCAGCTCCTTAGGGTTCTGGGCACCAGCTGGGCCTGGGGTATTTTTCAGGCTGAGCAGGGATCTGACCCCACGGTTAACCATGCAGCTATCAGCACGTCAGTTCAGTGTGCTACCCCAACGCACGAGGCTGGGCCTGTCTGCGTAAAGAAACTTGACTGTTCCAGCCATTCTGAAATATCCGTGGACGAGTAAGTCCATTGAACTGGTGCTTCCTTGAGTGATAAATCGCTGGCTTCATTGTGCTTTTTTCCATATATTTAGATGTTTTGCACAGCAAGCGGAAAACAAGGCAAAAAGCCCTTGCTGGGACCAGCAGTTAGCGTAATGGCTGTCACTGGACTCCCACATAGTGTACCGCGGTTCGAGTCCCGGACCCGGTGGTTTAAACATGCCCAAGATTCCAAGAGGAGAGTGGAGAAGGGATTGCTGGGTGTGTGGCCATCCCGCCTGGGGGGGGGGGGGATTTCTCGCTTTCTGTCTCTGTCTGGGGAGCGCACGCGCCCTATAGTCAAAACCTCTCCAAAGAAAAAAGTCCTCGCTCAGCCCTTGAGGCCGGAGTCACGGTGCTGTGTCCCCGAGCCCCGGCAGGGCCCTACCCAGCCGGGCTATGTTCCTGCCCCAGGTCTCCGACGGTCCGACTGTTAGAACGAGTGGGAAAGCCCCAGCCCCGCGGGATCAGAGGAAGGCGAAAGGCGGACGCCGGCTGCGAGACGGGGCTCGGCCCGGAGCGCCCACGTCGGCGCGCTCGTTCCGCGAGCTCAACGCCGCCCTCGTCCTAGGCCTCGCCTCGACCTTCCTGGGAAGACAAACATCCGCCTGCCCGGTCCTTGGGCCGGGTGAAGACGAGCGAGCGCTGGCCCCCCCCCGCCACACACCCACCGAGGCGGACGCCGCTGCGTCACTTCTCGCGATAGTTACCTCCGCGGCTTCGCGCCGACCGAGGCCGCACAGGCGCACTGGCGAATGAAAGCGGAGTACAACGCCTCGGCCTCCGCGTACTCGCCCTTGTCGAAGTGGGCCTGGGCGAGCGCTAGGCTCGCGCGACTTTCCGGACCCCGGGGCTCTTCCATAACGGTGTGAAGTGGGGTGGACCCCTGAGCGATTAGAGGCGGCACCGGGAAGCCACCTCCGCACCCCGGAATTTGACCGGCAGAACCGCGGGCTGGGAAAAGGGAAGTTTGTGCCTTCTGCGGACCCGGACTGTCCTCTCGCGATATAACTGCTGGGCTGTCAGTAGGGACGCTCAGGACGCTGGGAGCCGGACGCTGCCCATGGTTATCCTCGGCCTCTGTTCCCGGGAAAGCAGGGCTGGGCGTGATTTCTCGCTTTTTGTTTCTCTGTCTCTCTGTCTTTCTGGCGAGCCCACGGGCCCTATAGTGAAAAACCTCTCAAAAAAAGTTTAGATTAAGATCTTTTGTGAATCAATAAAATGTGCAAAAAAAATTGCAAGGAAAGCAACTGTAGATACCAGAGGCATTGTGGGAGGAGGGTGGGAAATGGCAGAGGTAAAAGGGAGGAATCAAGGGGGGGAAAAGCAAAATATATAAGCAACAAGAAATGGAAAATTATTTGTTGATGATAACATGTATGGTAATATCTTTGATTGAACCAATATACAGTGTATTTTGAGTAGGAAAACTCATATACAGTGAATAAATGTAAAATTTTAAAAATTTAAAAAACATTTAGAACTAAACAAGAAAATAGTTATGGACATTGGAGATAGTGTGGAAGGAGGGTGGGAGACAGAATGTAGGGGAGCAAATTCAGGAGAAAAAAATAGAGGTACAACATTTGAGGGATATAGAAATTGTTTATCTGTTGATGACGTGTAGTATTTTCAACTGGACTAGTCTAAGGTGTATTTCATGTTGGGTAAATTCTCTTTACAAGCTAAATGATACATGGTGATTGAATGTATAAATAATAATAATAAAGAAAGAAATTAAATGAAAAACTTGTACAATAAAAAAGTGCAAAACATTGCTGAAATAAATAAAACATAATAGAAAGACATTCATGTTCATGGATTGGAAGGCTTAATATTGTTAAAATGTCGATACTATCCAAAGAAATCTGTAGATTCAACAGAGTCTTTCTTTTTTTTTCAATAATTATTTTATTTTATTCATTCATTTTTTAGTTTTACCAGAGAGAGAAAGAGGGAGAGGGATAGAGGGTGAGAGTGAGAGGAAGTGAGAAAGCAAGCCACCAGATTCAGGACTTGAACCCTGGTCGGCCGTGTGGGAGTGTCCAGCGCCTTAACCACCACGCCACCTGCTGGTCCCCAAAATCTCTTTCAAATCTTAGTGATGTTTTTACAAAAGTAGAAAAATCCATCCTAAAATGCATGTAGAATGTCAAAGAATTGCAAATAGCCAAAATAACCTCAAAAAAGAACAAAACTAGAGGATTCATGCTTCCTGACTTCAAAACTTACTACAAAGTTACAGTAATCAAAACAGTGTGATATTGGCACTATAAATGGTGCTGGAAAAATCAGACATCCAAATGCAAAAGAATGAAGTTGCATCTTTACCTGATACCATACACAAAAATTCACCTAAAATGGATCAATGACCTAAATGTAAGAGTTAAAATAACAAATTCCTAAAAGAAAACAGGACAAAAGCTTCACAACATTGAACTTGGCAATGATTTCTTGAATATAACACCAAAGGAACAGACAACAAAAATATAAACAAATTGGATGTCATAAAAAGGAATATTTTGATATATCAAAAGACAGAGTAAAAAGGCAACTCATGATATAGGAAAAAATATTTGTGAGTCATATATCTGATAAGGAATTATTATCCAGACTATGTAGAGAATTTCTAAAATTAAACAAATATATAAAAAAAAAAATTGGGGCAGGGAGATTTGTTCAACAGTGCAGAGGTAATGTGCTGCTCAAGAAAAGCTGGGTGCGGGGCCAGCAGTTAGCGTAGTGGCTATGTCGCTGGACTCCCATGTAGTGGACCGCGGTTCGCATCCCGGACCCAGTGGCTTAAAACTCACACCGGGCACGTGTGCGTGCATGCCCAAGATCCCAAGAGGACAATGGAGAAGGGATTGCGGCATGACCATCGCCCCACCCCGGGGGGGGGGGGGGGGATTTCTCGCTTTTTCTCTCTGTTTCTGTCTGTCTGGCGAGCCGCACGCGCCCTATGGCAAAAACCTCTCAAAAATAAATAAGTAAATAAATAAAAGCTGGGTACCACATAGTGACCAAGATTCAAACCCCCAGCCTCATCAGTTTGAAACACACTGAGCGTGTGCACAAGTGCCCTGGATCTAATAGGCTGGAAGACTGGAGGAAGAGGATTGTGGCATGAACAGACCTCATGGAGAGTGCTTATTTCTCTCTTCTTTTTCTTTCATCCTCTGTCATGAAGAAAGAGGAAGAGAAGGAAGTGGGGGAGAAAGAGGAGAGGGAGGAGGAGCAGAAGAAAACTCCAATCCAGTGCAAACATGTGCGAAGGACTTGCATAGGCTTTTCTCCAAAGATGATACACAAGTGGACAGTAAGCACAGAAAAATATTCAACATCATTAATCATTTTGGAAATGCAAATCAAGACTACAATAGGATACTGCTTTACACTCATTAGGATGGAAACTTTTTAAAAAAAAAAAATAGCAAGTGTTGGTCAGGATGAGGAACTGTAACACTTGTGCGCTGCTCATAAGAATGTAAAATCGTGCAGCCACTGAGAAAAACAGTATGACATTTCCTCAGAAAATGAAAAATTAAATTGCCATACCATTTCCAGTTCTACTTGTGGGTATATACACAAAAGAAATGAAAGCATGATCTTAAGTATTTGCACACCCATGTTCATAGCACCATTGTTCACAATAGTTAGAAGGCAGACGCAACCCAACTGTCCCTCAACTGATAAGCAAAACGTGAGATGATACATACATACATACACACACACACGGAGACAGAGAGAGAGAGAGAAATATTATTCTGACTTTGAAAAGATGGAAATTCTTATACTTGTAACAACAGGGCTAAACCATGAAGGATTTTTTTTTTTTTTTTTTTAAGATTTTTACTATAGGACTACAAGGGAGCATACTTGTTAAAGCCTACTGAACAAAATATCTACGGCAAATATAAAGTACTATGCAAAATGCCAAAGAATTTCCTTTAAGATTAGGAATAAGACAAGGATGCTTGATATCATCACTTTTATTACTTAGTGCTTTATTGGGGAGACTGGCCAATGCAACATAACGACAAAATAAAGGTATAAATACTGGAGAGAAAAGTCATTTAACACATGATCGTGTACATAGAAAATAAACGCAAAGGACCAACAATAACAAACTACTTGAGAAGAGGAAAAACAAAATAGAATGTTCCCTGCCAGAATGTAAAACCTATTTTTAACACTAACTGAGACAGTATGCTTTGGTCACAAAGGCAAAACAGGCCAAATAAAAAAGGAAGCCAGAACTGTGAACATACACATAAGGACTCGAGGTTTTTAAATATAATATAATCACACAATGGTGTGAAAAAAATCACACATCCAAATGGGGAAAAGGAATGTAAATCTTTGCCTAATTTCATATAAACCAGTTCCAGGTGTACTACACATTTAAATGTGAAAGGCAAAAGAATCAAGTTTTTAACATAACATACTATCTCCATACCCTTCGGATAGAGAAGAATTTTATAAACAACCAATATTCTATATCATTGATTTTTTTGTCTGTTAGTATCAATTACAAATAGGGTGTGGTAAAATATCCAACTATGATGTGGATTTGTCTATTTCTCCCTTTTCATCACTTTTTGCTTCACATATTTGTATTGGGTATATTAACAACTAGAATTGTGTCTTCCTACTGAAGTGACCCTTTTATCATTATGGAATATTTCTCTATCTCTAATAGCATTGTCTTTAAGTCTACTTTAGAATTAATAGAACCACACAAGCTTTCTTATTCTTACCTTTTGCCTGGTACATCTTTTCCCATCCTTTTTCTTTCAACTTATGTTTTTTTTCCTTTTCTTTTGAGAGGTTTTTGCTATAGGGCGCGTGCGCTCTCCAGAAAGACAGAGAGACAGACGGAAAGTGAGAAAACACCCCCCAGGGGGGATGGCTACACTGCAATCCCTTCTCCTCCATTCTCCTCTCGGGATCTTGGGCACGCACGCACACGCGCCCAGCGTAAGTTTAAGCCACCAGGTCCAAGACTCGAACCATGGTCAACTACATGGGAGTCCAGCGACATAGCCATTACGCAAACTGCTGGTCACTTTCAACTTATGTTTTAAAACAGACTCTTGATTTTTAAAATCTATTTCGAGAATCACTTTTTTCCTTTATGAGAGAAGGGAAGAAGGAGGGGATAGGGAGGAAGAAATAGACACAGAGATAGGCATATGTGGCAGATTCACCCTGTTGATCCCCCAAAGCCCAATTACTTAGGGTTACGGGCATATGCTGCCAAGTGCAAGTTCTGGGTGGCCTGGGAACCAAACCTACATCTACCATGCAGCTTATAACCAATTACTTAGGGTTACGGGCATATGCTGCCATATCTGGAAGTTCTGGGTGGCCTGGGAACCAAACCTAGGTCTACCATGCAGCTTATAATCACCATACCTTAACAATCTTTAGTGTATTTAGTCAATTTATATTGAATTATTAATGTAGTGGGTTTAAGTTGCCATCTTGCTATTTGTTTTGTATGTAGGAGGGGTGTCTATGAATTGCTCCTCTTTATCTCTTTTCTGATATTTGTTTAAATGAATTACATTATTATAATTCCATTTTTTCTCTATTAGCTTTATTCTTATTTTGTTTATTCATCAGTTTTTTTGAGGTATAATTTACATCAATTTTTTTTTCATTACCAGAGGGAGCATGCATGTGAGATGAGAGAGAGAGAGCAAAGCATCCCCTCAATGGTGCTTGGCTTCAATGGTGTGTGATCATGCCACAATCCTTTTTATTTTTTAAATTATTTTAATGAACTTTATGTTATTTATTTATTCATTCATTCATTTATTTTAATTTGACCAGAGAGGAACAGATTGAGAGAGAGAAGGAAAGTGAGAAAGCAAGCCGCCAAGTCTAGGACTTGAATTGCAGTTGACCATGTGGGAGTCCGGTGTCCTTAACCGTGACACCACGTGCTGGCCCCCATAAATATTTCTTGTTATAAAAACATAATACAGCCTTTTTTTTCAATTTTACCATAGTTCGTTTTCTCCCATTGAATTCCACTATAATGGAAAAGCCTTATTAAAAAAATTAAGAAAATTTCCAGTGTTAAGCATGCAAGTTGATAAGTTCTGACAAATGTGTAATCATATAATTACCACCGAAAGTGAGAGACAAAAGATTGTCAGCAATGCCTCCTGCACCACCAACTGCTTGGCCCCCCTGGCCAAGGTCATCCACGACAACTTGGGCATCTTGGAAGGACTTATGACCACAGTCCACGCCATTACTGCCACCCACAAGACTGTGGACGGCCCCTCGGGGAAGCTGTGGCGTGGTGGCTGTGGGGCTGCCCAGAACATCATCCCAGCATTGACCGGGACTGCCAAGGCTGTGGGCAAGGTCATCCCGGAGCTGAACGGGAAGCTCACCGGCATGGCCTTCCGTGTCCCCACCCCCACCTGACCTGCTGCCCGGAGAAAGCTACCAAATACGATGACATCAAGAAGGTGGTGAAGCAGGCGTCACAGGGCCCCCTGAAGGGCATCCTGGGCTACACTGAGGACCAGGTCGTCTCCTGCGACTTCAACAGCGACACCCACTCCATCTTTGATGCTGGGGCTGGCATTGCCCTCAATGACATCTTCGTAAATCTCATTTCATGGTACGACAATATCTCTGGTTCCAGAAACAGGGTGGTGGGCCTCATGGTCCACATGGCCTCCAAGGAGTAGAGCTCCCGACCACCAGCCCCAGCGTGAGCATGAGGAAGAGGCCCTCAGCTGCTGGGGAGGCCCTGCTCCCGCTCAGTCCCCACCACACTGAGAAGCTCCCCTCCTTGACAGTTTCCATCCCAGACCACTGCAGAAGGGAGGGATCACAAACCATCAATAAAGTACTGTTATCAGCCAAAAAAAAAAGGAAAAAAAAGTGACTTCAACTAATTGTCCAGGTGACTCACAACTACAAGAGGTTCTGAAGAGGTCAGGCTCAAGCCCTCTGCAGGGCAGAAATGCAGGTGCCGTATCTGACCTCCCTGCTCTGACATCACCTGTTTAACACTTCAGGGGAACACTGGGAACTGCAGGAACACACTGGCCTGTGCTAACGACGCCAAGAGGCTCACGGGAGGATAAAGGTATCCCCAGTGTTTGGCATTAGAGTAGGAGTAGTCAGAGGAGCGGCATGGTGCGGCTCCCCTGCAGCTCATGGGCACATGTGTTTTTCAAGCCACTGGACCCAGGAATAGAACTGTCTTGCCAGCCGTGTGGGATCCAGTCACCTTAACTACCAGGCCACACGCTGGTTCATTCTCTCCTTTCTATAACACTGCATGGACCACCCTCTCTCAGAGGCCTGACCAAGGTAGGGGTTCTCCAGCCAACTGAACTTTTCCAAAGTCTGCTCCAAGGTGAGCCACACATCCTGGGGATCAGAGGAAGGACTTATGGCAAGAGACAGGAGTCTCGGAGGATGGCACAAAAGGTGGCTTTCCTAAGCCCAGTTGTAGACTCCCAGGCACCTGGGATTCCCACCCTGGGCATCAGTCTGTGGTAGCAGAAACCCACTGGGGAGCTGTCTCTTGGGTTCCTAAGGGACCTAAGGGACATTCAAGGAAGGCCCTGGCCTGCGTGCACAGCCAGCCATGCTGTGGGCACAGACTTAACCTGCGGAGGTTGAGGATGGTTGGAGCCTGAGCAGTCAAGAGAAGGTTCTCCTTGTCCCTGAGAGCAGGGCCAGGGGAACAAGAAGCTGGCTGGACTTAGGGGTGTCATTCTCTTTGCCCCCTGCGTTGGTTTTCTTTATGCTTCACCGCCTGATGTGTGGTCAGCTGGTGTTGCTCTCCATCATATCCATGCCTGGCTCTCATCCCCTTCAGGGCAAGTCCCAGGTCCTTCGTGGATTTCAGGGTCCTCCATAATCTACCACCGTGGACCTTTTCACCAATCCCCACCACCCTGCACCTTAAATGACACACATAGAATTGTTGGTTTGTCCCAGATTCCCCCCCTCCTCCGGGTTTTTGCACAAGCTGTTTCTTCTCTGGAAACCCACATTGGGTATGTGCTGAGCTTCACTGGGTTCCCGAGATGGTTCAGACCCAGATCCTGCCATGAACACCTCGTGACACAGCTGCAAAGATGAGTCAGGGACTGGACTGTATACGGAGCAGAGCTGGCTTCTCAGGAAGACGTCATCGTAAGGGGAAGCTGCATGAAGGCATACAGAATTCCCCTGTATTATCTCAGCAACTTTCCCATGCCTAGACTGTCAAACTGTAAAATTAATATAAGAATGATGGAAGAGGAGAAAAAGGGCTGGATATGCAAAGCACAGAGGAATTTTAGGCCAGTGACACTATTCTGTAGGAAACTGAAAGGGTGAATGATGTCATTTTATGTCTGTCCAAGTCCATAGAACTACACCAAGTGTGAGCCCTAAAGTAACCTATGGACTTTGGGTGGTGATGAGTAGCTAATGTAGATTCACTCATTGCAACAAACGCATCACCTTGAGGGGGACCTTGATAGTGCAGGTGGGTGCAGGTGTGTACGGAATAAATATAATGCCAGCCCCATTTTCATGGTCAAATTGTCATGAGAAAAAGAAACAGGTGAAATTAATTTTTAATGAGTTTGTTTAGTTGCACTACAAGAGTGAGTGGGAAAGTATAGCGTTCTTCCATACCCCTTCCCACCACACAGGCGCCCAGAGCCTCCCCCAGTATTAACAACCCCACCTGAGTGTGTCACACTGGGCGAGCCTGCAATGACATCACAGTCACTCAGAGCTCAGCGCATGGGTTGGGACAGTGTATACTGCTCCACACCCACCAGCACACTGTCATACCGACGGGGCTCACTGCCCTAAAATATTCTGGTCTCTGCCTGCTCATCCCTGCTTTGGAAAATCTCTTTTGAGAAATACACATCTTTTAATAAAGTAAGAGATTATTTCCACATGGTTTTCAGATTTGGGCATCCCTAACCTGAAAATCCCAAATCTGAGGTGCTTCAAAATCTGAAACTTTTTGAGCACCAGCATGATACCATGAAAAGAAAATTCACCTTGACCCCTGCAATGGGTCCCAGTCAAAATTCTGCAATGCAGGCTCAGCCAGACAGCTTGGTGGTTAAGGTGGCTGGTTCCAACACAGCTGACTGCATAGTTTGAGTCCCAGACATTTGAAAAACATGTCCGGCATGTGTGCGTGCGTGCCCAAAATCCCAAGAAAGGAATGAAGGAGAAGAAACCGTGGCTTGGCCATCCCCCCACCCAGAGGATGCTTTCTCACTTTTCCCCTCTCTCTTTCTCTTTCTCTCTTGCAAGTGCACATGCCCTATAGTATTTCTTTTTAATGTTTGCAATACAAAACCATTGTTTAAAAACCCATCAGCCTATCTATCTAAAGTGTATGTCAAAGTTAAATAGATTTTGTGCTTAGACTTGGTTCTCACCCCCAAAACATCTCATTATGTACATGCAAATATTCCAAAATCTAAAATACAAAATGCTTCTTCACCTCAAGCCTTTAGATAAGGGATACTCACTCTGTGCTTAACTCAGCACTTCCCAAAGATCACGATGCTGACACACGGTCCTGGCTGCATCGTAAGCGCTCATGGTTACACGTCCCAGTCTGCTCAAGTGCTGTAACAAAATACCATCAATAAGTGCATATTACACATAGTTCTGGAGGCTGAGAAGTCCAAGATCAAAGTGTTCTGCTGTGTGACTCATGGAAGGTACCTTCTGCTTGTCCTCACCTGGCAGAGGAAATGAGGGTTCTCTGTGCAACCTCTTGGGTAAGGACACTAAACCCATTCACAAGGGATCTGCTTCCATGAACCAATCGCAGCGCAAAGTCCTCACACCTCCTCCTACCATCATCTTGCGGGTGGTGAGGTTTCAACATGTGACCGAGGGGAAGAAGACATTCAGAGCGCAAGGTCTGGGGAGGTTGTTGCAGTGCTGGCTCCATCCCAGGCTTCCCCTCCTGCAGGAGAGGTCACTAGGCAAACAGCTTTCCTCATTCACTGGATCTGCGTGGAAATCCTCTCCCCACTGCCACAGCACTGCTGGGGAGATGGGAGACGCAGAGTCCGTTTATCACTTTCTTACAAAAGCCTCTGCTCTGAGCGCTCACTCGAGAACAGAACAAGAAATGCACCTGGAGATAAGATTAAGCCACCTTTGCTTGACCTGTGAATGCTCGAAAGCTGGCCTGCATCTATCTGAGGATCCTCCCACCTCACCCTCAGGCGCTAGCTTGATCCCCTATCTTGCTCACCTGAGCCCTGTGCAGCGGGAGGAGACTCTATTCCCCCAAGGTAGCTGGGAGGACTGAAAACACCCCAGAGCAAATGAGAAAGTGCTGAGAAACAGCATCAGAAGACAGGCAGCCAGCCAGGATAGGCACAGGACCCTGTCCCATCTCCTCTTGCCCTGGGGTCTTCTCTCTGCTCAGGACCCTGCATCTGAGGCAGCAGGGGGAGCCTGTCCCAGCGCTCAATCGGAAGGCTGGCGATGCTGGCAGTTGGCTTTTCCATTACTGGCTCAGCGGTTTACCTGACTTCCTTCTTGGACATTCTAAGGCTCGTTTGCTTTAGGTGTATATTTAAGCGGCATGAAAGAACCAGAAAATCCAGAAATTATGTGTCCCAGGGTCTCAGTGTCCTTTTTTGTAAACTAACCTGCCTTTCCTACACCTTGCCTTTCCCACTGGGTGTGACAACAAGGCACATTAGGAAGAATTTGTCAGAGAATTATAAAGGGGCAGGTACACAAATTCAAATGCAGCCATCCTAATGAGACAGGAGTTAAGACTCTAATCACAGGTAGCTAGGGAAGGGCCCCAAAAGAAAGTCATTGTGCTTTTCTTTTTAATGACGTCTCTGTGCTTTTCTGCTATAGTCTGGTTAATGTACAATATACACCCCTTTTACATGTCTCTAAAAAAAGTATGACTCCTCACTAATAAGACAGAAGATGGGGCTTGGAAGCACACAGGGTAAGACCAAGAAGCAGTCACAGTAGCTAAGTTTTCACAGCCAGAAGCCAGCTGCTTTGGGACTCAAAGCAATTGTACCTAAGGGCAAGAGTTTCAATTTAGTGACTTTATTTTAACAAAAAAATGCAGAACACTATGTTCTACTGATCCTATGAGAATAGGGTAGTTAATCACTCGGATGATCTGTAACTATTTTCTAAGCCCACTTCTTTATCAGAGAGCCAGCCTATTGGCCCAGTTCCTTGTCAGAGAGGCAGCCCATCGCTCAGACTGCTAGATAAAAACCCCTCTCTTTCAGCTCCTCTCTGGCAATACACCAAGTGTGAGCCCTAAAGTAACCTATGGACTTTGGGTGGTGATGAGTAGCTAATGTAGATTCACTCATTGCAACAAACGCATCACCTTGAGGGGGACCTTGATAGTGCAGGTGGGTGCAGGTGTGTACGGAATAAATATAATGCCAGCCCCATTTTCATGGTCAAATTGTCATGAGAAAAAGAAACAGGTGAAATTAATTTTTAATGAGTTTGTTTAGTTGCACTACAAGAGTGAGTGGGAAAGTATAGCGTTCTTCCATACCCCTTCCCACCACACAGGCGCCCAGAGCCTCCCCCAGTATTAACAACCCCACCTGAGTGTGTCACACTGGGCGAGCCTGCAATGACATCACAGTCACTCAGAGCTCAGCGCATGGGTTGGGACAGTGTATACTGCTCCACACCCACCAGCACACTGTCATACCGACGGGGCTCACTGCCCTAAAATATTCTGGTCTCTGCCTGCTCATCCCTGCTTTGGAAAATCTCTTTTGAGAAATACACATCTTTTAATAAAGTAAGAGATTATTTCCACATGGTTTTCAGATTTGGGCATCCCTAACCTGAAAATCCCAAATCTGAGGTGCTTCAAAATCTGAAACTTTTTGAGCACCAGCATGATACCATGAAAAGAAAATTCACCTTGACCCCTGCAATGGGTCCCAGTCAAAATTCTGCAATGCAGGCTCAGCCAGACAGCTTGGTGGTTAAGGTGGCTGGTTCCAACACAGCTGACTGCATAGTTTGAGTCCCAGACATTTGAAAAACATGTCCGGCATGTGTGCGTGCGTGCCCAAAATCCCAAGAAAGGAATGAAGGAGAAGAAACCGTGGCTTGGCCATCCCCCCACCCAGAGGATGCTTTCTCACTTTTCCCCTCTCTCTTTCTCTTTCTCTCTTGCAAGTGCACATGCCCTATAGTATTTCTTTTTAATGTTTGCAATACAAAACCATTGTTTAAAAACCCATCAGCCTATCTATCTAAAGTGTATGTCAAAGTTAAATAGATTTTGTGCTTAGACTTGGTTCTCACCCCCAAAACATCTCATTATGTACATGCAAATATTCCAAAATCTAAAATACAAAATGCTTCTTCACCTCAAGCCTTTAGATAAGGGATACTCACTCTGTGCTTAACTCAGCACTTCCCAAAGATCACGATGCTGACACACGGTCCTGGCTGCATCGTAAGCGCTCATGGTTACACGTCCCAGTCTGCTCAAGTGCTGTAACAAAATACCATCAATAAGTGCATATTACACATAGTTCTGGAGGCTGAGAAGTCCAAGATCAAAGTGTTCTGCTGTGTGACTCATGGAAGGTACCTTCTGCTTGTCCTCACCTGGCAGAGGAAATGAGGGTTCTCTGTGCAACCTCTTGGGTAAGGACACTAAACCCATTCACAAGGGATCTGCTTCCATGAACCAATCGCAGCGCAAAGTCCTCACACCTCCTCCTACCATCATCTTGCGGGTGGTGAGGTTTCAACATGTGACCGAGGGGAAGAAGACATTCAGAGCGCAAGGTCTGGGGAGGTTGTTGCAGTGCTGGCTCCATCCCAGGCTTCCCCTCCTGCAGGAGAGGTCACTAGGCAAACAGCTTTCCTCATTCACTGGATCTGCGTGGAAATCCTCTCCCCACTGCCACAGCACTGCTGGGGAGATGGGAGACGCAGAGTCCGTTTATCACTTTCTTACAAAAGCCTCTGCTCTGAGCGCTCACTCGAGAACAGAACAAGAAATGCACCTGGAGATAAGATTAAGCCACCTTTGCTTGACCTGTGAATGCTCGAAAGCTGGCCTGCATCTATCTGAGGATCCTCCCACCTCACCCTCAGGCGCTAGCTTGATCCCCTATCTTGCTCACCTGAGCCCTGTGCAGCGGGAGGAGACTCTATTCCCCCAAGGTAGCTGGGAGGACTGAAAACACCCCAGAGCAAATGAGAAAGTGCTGAGAAACAGCATCAGAAGACAGGCAGCCAGCCAGGATAGGCACAGGACCCTGTCCCATCTCCTCTTGCCCTGGGGTCTTCTCTCTGCTCAGGACCCTGCATCTGAGGCAGCAGGGGGAGCCTGTCCCAGCGCTCAATCGGAAGGCTGGCGATGCTGGCAGTTGGCTTTTCCATTACTGGCTCAGCGGTTTACCTGACTTCCTTCTTGGACATTCTAAGGCTCGTTTGCTTTAGGTGTATATTTAAGCGGCATGAAAGAACCAGAAAATCCAGAAATTATGTGTCCCAGGGTCTCAGTGTCCTTTTTTGTAAACTAACCTGCCTTTCCTACACCTTGCCTTTCCCACTGGGTGTGACAACAAGGCACATTAGGAAGAATTTGTCAGAGAATTATAAAGGGGCAGGTACACAAATTCAAATGCAGCCATCCTAATGAGACAGGAGTTAAGACTCTAATCACAGGTAGCTAGGGAAGGGCCCCAAAAGAAAGTCATTGTGCTTTTCTTTTTAATGACGTCTCTGTGCTTTTCTGCTATAGTCTGGTTAATGTACAATATACACCCCTTTTACATGTCTCTAAAAAAAGTATGACTCCTCACTAATAAGACAGAAGATGGGGCTTGGAAGCACACAGGGTAAGACCAAGAAGCAGTCACAGTAGCTAAGTTTTCACAGCCAGAAGCCAGCTGCTTTGGGACTCAAAGCAATTGTACCTAAGGGCAAGAGTTTCAATTTAGTGACTTTATTTTAACAAAAAAATGCAGAACACTATGTTCTACTGATCCTATGAGAATAGGGTAGTTAATCACTCGGATGATCTGTAACTATTTTCTAAGCCCAAAAAAATGCAGAACACTATGTTCTACTGATCCCATGAGAATAGGGTAGTTAATCACTCTGATGATATGTAACTATTTTCTAAGCCTTCTTTATCAGAGAGCCAGCCTATTGGCCCAGTTCCTTGTCAGAGAGGCAGCCCATCGCTCAGACTGCTAGATAAAAACCCCTCTCTTTCAGCTCCTCTCTGGCAACCCATTCAGGATCCCATGCTGCTTGGGAGTGGTGTTCTTCTTTGTCTCTCTTAATGAACTCTGCTTTGCTATCCCCTCTCTGTATCCACATCTGTAGTTCTTCATGAGTGTCAGACAAAAACCAACACAGGTGTTGGATCTGATCACCCAGCGTCCACAAGTTGCTAGGTAGGGTTGAAGGAAGACACATAGGAGGGGGAGGAAGAGGAACTCGCTTATTACCTCATGGAATCCTATTGCTCAGGGACCAGCAGGCAGGCATCTAGACGCACTGGACAAGGAAAATCCCACCCAAATAGTGCCTGGCTCTCGTTATGAGCCCCACCACCAGTCATGGGATGGGCTTGGGATGTAAAAGGTAAGGGCTGGGATCTCGAGAAAGTGTCTAGGGACCAGCAGATGGTGTCATGGTTACATCACTGGACTCCCACAGGGTTGAGTGCATTCGATTCCAGACACAGAGGCTTGAAACTCACGCCAGGCACATGTGCACGCATGCTCAAAATCCCAAGAGGAGAATGGAAGAGAAGGGATTGTGGCATGGCCATTCC